GTCCAGGGTTACCAGGCCTGGCAGGGGCTGGCCCAAAATCCAGAGCTGCCAAGTGCTGACTGGCATCTCTGATTCACACCATGTCACCTCACCAGGCCTCACCTACCTTTCCTTCCCAGTGTGCTTTAAAGCCCACCTGCCCCAGGCCCCTCTCCCCACCTAACAGCTCTCCTTCCCATGGGAACAAGTCCATGCAAGCAGAGCCCCTGAGGCCAGCTGTGGGGACAGGGTACAGAGCCATGCTGTGGCTCCCCAACCCCCTTTCCAAAGGGCAAAAGGTCAGACTTTCTAGCTGCCCTTTCTGGGCACTTGCCAGCAGTGAGCAGGCTTCCGATTTATTTCCCCTTCTGAGTTCGCCCACCACATAACAGGCTTTGTGAGAGCAAAGGGGAGGGCAGCGGGTGAACCCCGGGCCACTGACCTCAGTCTCTGGCAGGGCACGGCCTCTGCCGAGTTTTGGGCAAGCATCCTGACCAGCGCTGGTCCCAGCTGCCTGGGACGGCAGCTTTGGCCTGTCATTCATGTTGCTGGAAAGATGGCTTAACAATAACCTGGGTTTGCATATTGCTGGAGGAGATCAAAGTTCTGTCTGGATTTCTAAAATCCAGACGGGTCAGGTGACTTACAACAGGAACATGGGGTGGTGACGTGCCTGAGGTCACAAAGCAAGGAGGTAACAAAGTTGAGGAAAAACGTCCATCTCCCTTCTCTTACTCTGGCTGTCAATCTCCTGGTCAGCCCACATAACTTCTTTTTCTTTTCACTGAAGGCAGGGACTATGGATACAGCACCTGGACATTCACCCCAATAGGGGCAAGGCAGAGGGAGGGGTGGTTAGAAGCTCTAAAGCAGCCCGAGCTCTGCCCCAATGGGCTGACTGACCTTGAGTACATTACTTAACAACTCCGACCAAGTTTCTCAGAACAATCACAGTAGCCAGTAAAGCCTTCCTTCTCAAAAGGCTGCCCATTTGTATCCCGCTGTAGCTGTTAGAAATGCAGATTCGAGGCTCTCCCAGACCTGCATGATCAGAATTTTCCCATTCTTTCAAGGTCTAGGGGATTCTAAAGATATTTACATTTGAGAAGCCCGGATATAAAGCACTTGGAACATGCCCACGCAGAGGCAGCCCTCAGCCCTCAATTACATAAGCCCAATTCACACTGGACACAGGCCCCGGCTTCCTAGAGGAATCAGACCCAGAAAGGCTGATTGACTTGCCCAGGGTCCCGGAGTGGCTGCAGGATTTGAATCCAAGACTTGGGAGTTCTTTTGCACCCATGGGCCCTCTTTCCATGTACGAACTAACTCTCCATCCATAAGGCACAATGCTAACGCAGGTGCTCTAAGAAGCAAAGCCTCCTGTTTTGTTTGTTTTGTTTTGTTTTGTTAATTAATTCCCTGGTCACCGTGCAGGGTCCTCAGTCAGGCCTGACGGCTCACACTGGTTCACCCGGGCTTGACTCTGTGCTTCTGGGTGGCTGCCTACGATTCAGAAGCTCAAGGAAGTGGAGCGGCCCAGGGCAACTGCCCCTGCTGCCGGGGATGAAATTTTTAAAGTGAAAGGAAGCCTTAAAACACACCTTATATATTTACACTCCCTTTCACCTATTAAGACCTTCGGCACGCAGCTGGCCCCGCCCAAGCAGAGCACACAGCAAGGTGTCAAGCTAGAAGGCATCTTCTTGGCTTCCCACCTCTGACACCTAGCCAGAGAGCAAACCCCAGCATGTTGGCTTCCCAGGGCCGGAGCCCTGTCCATCAGGCTGGGAAGATGCCCAGGCCCACAGGACTGGGTTCCCCAGAGGCTCCAATGGAGACGTGAGCAGAAGCAGCCGGGGGCCCAAACAAAGGTTAAATGGGGGGAGGGGGGATGACTCAAGAGTAGAGAATCACACCAGTATGACCGGCCTGCTGCATCCCAGACAAACATTTCCAGTCCACAGCTCCAAAATTGTTCTAGGGCCTACCACATGCAAGGCACAAGCACATAGTTGAGGGACGGAAGAAAAGATGGCAGCCTTGGGGGATGTCAAAGATCCGGGTTCCCATCTGGGCCAACACTGGTCTGTGAAACCACCTACCTACACACAGGGTGGCTGTGCAGATTCAACAAAATATAGATCAAATGTCCAGCCCTGGGCACAGAAATGGTGCCTGGGCCTGGGCACAGAAATTTTCCTCTGTCGTTATTTCAAAGTCTGCAAGTCCGAGCAATGTCTGCGATTGGTTTTACAAGTGTCCAGACGGAAATGACACACAAGAAAGCGTTTCACGGTTTCAGATCGAGAAATTCTGATTTTTATATATTCGTAACAAACCCAATATAGGATATCTCAAGTTCATTATAAAGGCAGATTTCAGGTTAATTATGGCAATGCCTTCCAAACTTTCATTTGTGTATGAATCACCTGGGGATCTTGTTAAAATGCGGATTTGCACTCAATCTGGAGTGGGACCGGAGAGTGTTCATTTCTAAGAACTCTGGTAAAGCTCAAGTTCCCAGAGCCCACACTTTTGAGCAGCAAGGTTCTATGGAATTCCTTAAATAGTAAGAGACACATCCAAGGAAGGTATAATTTGATTTAAAAAGGACATCCCAAGAGAACACCCATGAAGTAGTATATGGAACCACTCTGGCTAGCGAGGTTTCTTAAAGGGAGGCACACCAGGGAAAGCCAATGGCGTTTTCGTAAATTGCCCCTGGGCCCTATTCAAATGAGTTTGTACTCTACATCACACGGTTTACGCAGGTAAAAGTACTCGTTACTGGTCATAAAAGCAGCACTCTTCTGACAAAATTCTCGAAAGCAGTGTGGTGTCAGAAACAAAGCATCCTAGAGTATTTCAAGTTCATGACCGCTCCAACAGCTGTGGCCAAGCTAGGCTCTTCAAGGCCTTTTTAAATCCCTTTTTACCCATTTACCTCCTCTCTGTACATTAAATTTCATGCTGTTTCTGTTGACAGCTATAATAATAAAAAAAATGCCTCTATCAAGTTGCCAGATATGGATAATCACTAAGTAGTAAGACGAATGTGACTGTCAGGAAGCATCTTCAATTGACTGACTCATCCTAACGTGCGTGCTGGGGGGTGGGGAGCCATAAAACATCCAAGGGGGTTCATATTTACGGGACTGGAGATTAAATTGTGGCTATTCTTTGGATCAGAAATACTAACACAGGGGCGCCTGGCTGGCTCAGTTGGTGGACCATGCAGCTCTTGATCTCAGGGTTCTAAGTTCCAGCACCGTGTTGGGTGTAGAGAGGACTTAAAAATAAAATCTTAAAAGAAAAGAAAGAAAGAAAGAGATAGTAACACAGAAGATTTTCCATATCCCCTGAAATGAGATTCTTGGAGAAAAAGTGTGGGGTAATCTGACCCCCAGCTGCTTTTAGCACAGGAACACATCTGTCTACCGTGAGACATAGGCCAGCCTTGCACACTGGCTTAGAATAACATGTACATGTATTACAATTCCTGTCATGACCCTCTGGCCTGGCTGGGCTAACGCTCAAACTATAGTGTCATTATGAGCCAATGCGTGATGTCAAGCAGTAACAGTGAGCTGCCCAGAAACTGCTGAGTATGCACCAATCGCCCAGAAAGGAAGGGATTCCCCTCCTGTGCACTTGCCCGCTGATGGGGAGATGCGTGCTCAGACAAGAAATGCCAGGGCCAGGCGGTCACCTGTGCCCAGCATCGCTAATTCATCCATGCAATCACAAGACTGCCTCCCTGTTCCACATCCCTCCCTGCAGCCCATGCACAATCAACACCGTGAGGCTACACACCTAGGGAGGGTCATGATTTCACCCTTTGGGGAAGAAGGAGCAAATTTCTGGATGAGCCTGGCTTGTTTTTCCCCATCTGTCCGTTGGGGGAGGAAGTGAAGTTTTCCAATAGCCCACCTTCTTACTTAGGCCAGAAAAAAAATGCCTGAGCTTTCAAAAGAGCAGTACAGGAGAGAGGCTGTGACAGAAAATGTTCTCCTCTCTCATCTTGAGGCCTGCAAAATGTTTCCATTTCAAAAGGGGAAATCGGGGCCCCCAGAGGTTAAAATAACTGAGCCAACCTGGAGCCCCTGCTATAACTTCATAGGGGACCTCATTAGCTAACAAGGGAGGATACTCCCTCCCAGGAAACAGGCCTCCATTTCTCCACGGCTCCCCAGGCAGGGTCTTCTCCAAACTCTGGTCCCACTGCCGACACAGTCCTAATTCCCAACTGTCCTCTGAACATATGTTGACAAACTCCAGCTTTTTCCTTCACAATAAGCAAGTTTCCAACATTTCAGATTTTTGCTAAGATGCCTAAAACCTGCAGATGACTTAAGCTGGCAAATACAAGCTTGTAACTAACTCTAGCAAATTCATCTTGGAGAAAAAAAGTCCTCAAGCCCTATTTCCTCCCTGTCCCCAAACTCCAAGACCCGGTGCAAGGAAATGTAAGGATTTTCCATTTCTTAGGAAAGCAAAAGGAAAACACCAAGTTTTCCTGGGACACGGGACTACTTTGAGTGCAGGCAATAACTCCTCTCAGGAGGGATTCACCGCGCGTCTTCAAGAAGCTCAGGCTCACACGCGCCACTCAGCCACCAGCCGGACCCACCGCTGGACTTTGCGCCCCGCCAAGTCTTGCCTGGCGTGGGGAGAGCGCGCCTCTGGGTCTGGACGGGGTTTCTAGAAGTTCGTGATGCCCTCCTTGCAATGGGAGGTCTGGGTGCGGCTTTTTAATGGGCTCCCGCAACTCCCAACTCCGGACTCACAGCATGAGCGTGATGCTTCTGCTCTGCGAGTGCCGGGCTCACGCGCGCACCTGAGAACACACACTCCCTGGGGACTCTCCCTCTTTCGCGTGCCCTCGTGCTTTGGGATTTGGGCCAGAAGCCCAGGGATCCGGCAAGGCGCCGGAAGGTGGGAGCGACCAGTGTCCCGCAGCCAAGAGCCGGCCTGGAGGGACGTGGGGGTTAGGCGCGCGTCGCGTCCTGCATACTCACCGGGACCTCTGCAACTGTTCCAAGGCGCTGGTGCTGGCCCCCTGGCCCGGCTGCTCCAGGGAGCAGTAGTTCTGCGAAGTCTGCCTGGAGAAGGCGATGGGCAGGATTCCCTGAGTGAACGAGTTGAGGCGACCCCGACTGCCGCTCCCACTCGCGGGGGTCCCGGAGCCCAGAAAGGCGGCCGTCGGCACCTGCACGCTGGAAAAGGCATCGTCCTCCTCCAACTCCTCCTGCCCGGCGTTCCCGGGCCGGTCGGGCAGCTGCGGCGGAGCGCAGGAGGCGAGAGGCGCCGGCCGGGGCGGCTGTAACTGCTCCCCCGACGCCCGGCCCGCGCCCAGGGGGCTCACGAAGCCCCGGGCAGCCCCGGCCCCGAGCCCCGCAGCGTGGCCGCCGGGGACCAGGGGTTGCAGCGGCGAGGGCTGCGGGAGGCAGGGGCCCCATCCAGCTGCTACCGCCGCCGCCGTGCCCGCCGCGGCGAGCGCGTTGCAGCCGCCCCGCTCGGCGGCGGCGAGCAGGCTGAGCCGAGTCCTCGCGCCGCAGGCGCTGCCGGCGCCCGGCTTGGCCGCGCCGCTCTCCTCGCCGCCGCCGCCGCCCCACTCCTCGTCCTGCAGCGGCGGCCGTCCGTCCAGCGAGATGTTGGTGAGGAAGGAGAGGGCAGCCTGGCGGCGCCGTGGGTCCATGCGCGGCTTCCGGGGGGGCTCGGGCGGCGGCGGCGGCCGGGCCGGCGCGGCGGCCGCGGGCTGGGGCTGCGGCGGCGGCGGCGGCTGCGATCCGCGGGTGGCCGCGGCGTCGGTGCCGGCGCGGCTGCTGCTCCTGCAGGCGGCCGTGCCGGCGGTGGCGGCCGTGGTGGCGGCAGTCGCCGCCATTGTGTCCGTCTGCGGCGGTATTTCCGCGATCCCCGGAGAAGCGAGCGGCGCCCGAGTGCTAAGCGGCGAGCGCGAGCGCCGGTGACCCGGGCTGGGCAGGGCGCGGGGCGCGGGCGGCGTGCGCGGCGGCCCGGCCCCCCCGCGGGCGGGCCATGCTCGCCCCTCGGTGCTGCGGCTGGGGACGCCGCCGCCCCGGCCCACGCGCGCGGCTAGCTGGCTCGCTGGCCGGCCGGCGGCCGATCGCCTGGTCCCGGGCCCTCCCCGCCCCTGCGGTCTCCGGCCGCCCGGCCCGGGAGTCCGTATTTATAGGTGCGCGCGCCCTGCGCTCGCGCTCCGAAGCGCTCTTTGCAATAACACAGTATCACGTGTGAGGAATGAAACCTGGGAGGAAAACAAAGCCGCAGGCGGCGGCCGCGGAGGCAGGCGGCGGGAGGCGAGGGGCCGGAGGAGGAGGAAGAGGAGGAGGAAGGCAAAGCCGAGCGGGTGGCGGGGCGGGGGATCTGCCGGCGGTCCAGGTAGCCCGAGCTTCCTGCGGGGAATTGGTGGCTCCCAGGGCGCGCGGGAGCCAGCTAAGGGAGGCGAGCACGTTTCGCCGCCGCGCCCGCACTGGGAATTGGGGGTGCGAGCTGAACCCCGCAGTCGCGGTTTGAGGATGTGGTCCCGGGAGAGTTGTGGGTCTGCAGGATAGTTACTCGGAGGGACGCTGAGATTTGGCCTACGAGCTTGTTAACTGGACCCCGCGCAGCCGTTGGGCCCTGAGAAATAGATCCTTATTTATAGTCACACGGGCAGGTCCACAACCCCTTACGTGGATAGTCCCACCTTAAAGCTGTCGCTTAACCACTAAGTTTGTGTCTCATTCATTCGCAGGCCGAGGTGCAGCCCCTGAGATAAATGTACACCCTCGGTGCGTAAGAGCCCAGGCTCATTTGAACATCTTCTGTATGGGCCGACTAATTTATACATCCCCATTTGATGGCGCTGTCACTTTTCATCTCTCTCTTAGCAAAGGCCAACGTCAATTTTTACTCTGTGAAGACCGAAATAAGCTATGATGGCCTCACACCCTTTTCCCCTGCACATTTCGTGGATTATGATCTCTTTTTATCCCGTATAAACTGGGAACAATTGGATGGTTACTTTCTGTCATTTATTTCATAAACATCCGTTTGGCACCTACCATGTCTTCTCTTAAGATGGGGTACCTGCCCAAGGATTCGATGACTGTTCCAGAGCAGCAACTCTGGACCTGGGAGGAGTCATGGAATGCTGTACGTCGGGGCCCTAGCCCCAACAAATGCCTGTGTTGGCTGAGGGGGGTGGGAGGCCAGGGGGCCCCCGGAACCATCTGAAAAAATGTGTACCGGTTTCCCTGTGCAGTTTGGGTGACTTACCAAATGTAGTAAGGAACAATTGTCACACTTTATTAAGCTCTGCGACAGCTAAGACACCTCTCTACACTTTTCTGAAGGAGAAGCAGTGTGTTTAAGATCAAGGGATTAATTTAATTAAAGGTTTAAATTTAGCCCTGGAACTAATGGGTAACTCTACATTGAAATTCCACTCCACTTCAAGTTCAGGAAAGTAAATTGAGTAATGTGGAGCAAATACACCAGAGATGTGCAGCCAACCTGGAGTGTATGAGATATGGGTGAGTTTCAGGTTACATTTGCTTAGGACAAACATGGCACATGGCCCTTTGCATGAACAACTGTTCATATTTTATGCCATTTTTAGGCCTTTTGAAAAAGTAGAGAATGGGATCTGTTTATAGCAGCCTTACAGCGGCTAAGTCAAAGCTTGGTGACCAACTCTGTGAAATTTCATTAGGAGTTTAATTATTTTGTTTAACTAACTACCTTGAAACTTCCAAGTGGCTTTATTACAATTAACTGAATTTGCATGACCACTGGCCTGGTTGTGCCTGCAGGCAGTGTTAAATGAAAGACACCAACTCTGTTCACGGTAACGATTTTTTATTACAAAAATGACTAACGGTAATTGCACAACATTTAGAGAATAAGGTAAGTAAAGAGAAGTTTTAATAAAAAAGCATCACTAACAATCTCATCTGCTATGCAGATAACTGTTAAACTTTTTATTTCTGTCCTGTATTTTTAAACAAGTGAAAGTACGCTGTTCATGTCTCTTGATTTTTGTTTGTTGTGTTGCGGTCATCTTTTCATTTAGAATATTCTTTTATGGGATCATTTTAATGGCTGCGTAGTGTTCAAGTCAGTGGAGAGATTATAATTATTAAGCCTGTACCCTATATTGAACATTTAGGTTGTTTCCACCTTTGCTGTTATAAAGAGAGTGGTGATGACTTCCTTTGTTTTTCTACATCTTGCTACCGTCCAGTATCTTCTTAGTTAGACAGATGCTGGGGCAAATGCAGTATCATGTTTCTAAGGTTTCCCATCCAAATAGGTTGGTGCAGTTTGTTCCTTTATACTCTTGCCAGCAATGTCAATTTTTCCATCAATCTTCATTTCTTTGTCCATCTGATATAACTCTTTGTCTACTTCAGGTGGCAAACATGCAGACTAATTTCAAATATTTATTAAAGCATCAACCAAGAATCAGTATCTTTTTTTTTTTTTTTAGATTTTCTTTATTTATTTACAGAGAGAGACACAGCGAGAGAGGGAACACAAGCAGGGGGAGTGGGAGAGGGAGAAGCAGGCTTCCCGCTGAGCAGGGAGCCAGATGCGGGGCTCGATCCCAGGACCCCGGGATCATGACCCAAGCTGAAGGCAGACGCTTAACAACTGAGCCACCCAGGCGCCCCAAGAACCAGTATCTTATTTAACCTCCACTCTGTTCCTGTGATCAATTCTCTTATAGGGATCATGAGGGGTATGGTTTATTGTTCACCTACTGTGTGTTGGCCACAGAATATTTCTATTTCCAATCCTTTGCACTCTGCAAGGAGGGGTGGTGGTGTGTTATTATCAGTATTTTACAGACAAGGCTCAGAAAAATTAAATTATTTGCCCAATGACATCTAGCTCGTTAACTGGGCCAGTACACAAACCTGTCATAGTCTTAAGACCCATACGTGGTCCTGCGCCCTCTGCTGGTGAGGACGTTTTATGCGGCGGTCCATCTCCAGATTTAATCTTATATTTGTACTTAGAGTCAACTTATCATGGAAATAGGACAAACTTGGAAGGAAGAGTTTCAAGAGCAAATCTCTTCACCTCTCCAAGCCAATTTCCTCCGCAGGTTATTCTGAGGTACAAATGAGACTGTCTGAGAAGCATTTTATAAACCTTAAAGTACCTTTAAAAATGTCAGTTGTTACTTGTATCAGCCCAATCTACCTACTCCCTGAATTATTCCAAATTCACTTATTTTTCACCTATGGAATCACTAATTAAATATTACTGAGGAACTTCTACGTACATAGCACCACCTTGCTACAAAAAGAAAAAAGAAGTGTGGCTCTTTGCCCTTGTGCCCTCTATAGTGAAAATAGTGGGAAGCAAAGCCAAAGCTCAGGACACGTTTAAATCAAAATGCGAGGCAGACTCTGATCAACTGATCAAATGAGCAATCAGACTGGAACTGTGAATGTTATCAAAAGGACCTTTATATTTGAGGTGAGGTCTGTGGGGGAGGCCTCAGCCAAGAGCCAGAATTTCTACTGACCTGGGTGCTTAAGAGGGAAGGGGGAGGACACTTCAGGAAGAGGATGTTCTGCATACAAATTCCTCATGGATTGCAGGCCTAGAAAGAATTTGAAATGTAATTCTTGGTCTGCAGAGGTTTTTGTGTTTTGGGGGGTCTTCCCGCCCATTTACTTTAATATTGCCCCTTACGAGTACGCATTCTAAAAACTTTTTTTTTTTTAAGATTTTACTTATTTATTGGACAGAGAGAGATAGAGAGCCAGAACACAAGCAGGGGGAATGGGAGAGGGAGAAACAGGCTTCCCACAGAGCAGGGAGCCGGACGTGGGGCTCAACTCCAGGACCCTGGGATCATGACCTGAGCTGAAGGCAGACGCTTAAGGACTGAGCCCCCCAGGTGCCCCATTCTAAAAATTTTTTTTGCATGCATCAATAGTTTTGATTGACACGTACAGGAGTCAGTTAAAGAAAGAAAAAGAACCTACAGGTAATCACTGACCTTTTAAAAAAAGTAATTCTGCAGAACTTCTTGTCTGAAAATTAGCTTAGAGATGACGGTGGATGCCACTCATAACAAAAGCCATCAGACTCTGTGGTTCTGCTGCCTGCTTAAGAGCTTACACACTTGTAATCTTTGGGGGCTCAAGCTTGGGAAAATGAAAAACTTTTTGCCTTGGTTGCCTTGGTAGGTTTCGTAATATTTTATTTTGCAGAGTTCTGAGGATTAGTGATATTATAAATTATGTAACTAGCAGAGTATCTCAAATAGGCAGCTGTTATTAGAAAAATGCAAAATGTAGAAGGTGCACACAACAAAGGCTGGGATATTTTCGGTTCCAGGTTTTTGTAATTTGCACTAGCTCTGCCAGGAGGGAGGTGGGACCACGAGAAACTTCAGATGCCGGCTCTGGTTCAGATCACATTATTTTACTGCATGTTCCATAAAAGCACGGCCAGCACTCAAACCAGGCCAGTAGGTCTGAAGTACAGGCAGAGTACCTGCGAGAGACCTGCTGCTGCTTGCCTTCATCAAATGAAAGTTAGGTCGCCAAGACTTGAAACGGAGAATGCCCAAGACGTGGTCCTCAACACCCCAGCTCTTCTCCCTGAAATTCACCTTCCCCGTGGGGACTTCTGATCATTTCTCTGAGCCAGGGAGAAGGGCAAGGACATGAGGGGTGTCATTGTTTTCCCTTTACAATTCGGCGCAGATACTTTAATTTCCTTCCTTATTTCTCTAGGCCATCTGAGACCAGATGGAACACCTAAGTGAGACTTAACTAGAAGCTCAGGGATACTGGGTGCCTGGGTGGCTCAGTTGGTTAAGCGACTGCCTTCGGCTCAGGTCATGATCCTGGAGTCCCGGGATCGAGTCCCGCATCGGGCTCCCTGCTCGACAGGGAGTCTGCTTCTTCCTCTGACCCTCCCCCCCTCATGTGCTCTCTCTCATTCTCTCTCTCTCAAATAAATAAATAAAATCTTTAAAAAAAAAAAAAAAGAAGAAGAAGCTCAGGGATACTGAATGCAGAACTAAGTCAGTGAGGACCCTAGAGCCATGTAGAGCAGCTAACAAAATGTGACTTACTCATAGTCCTCATCCCAGTATTTTCTAAACGCCAATCCAGTGCTAGGTTCTGGGTTAGGTTCTGTGAGTACCAAGGAGAACAGGATGTGATCTTGTCCTGGAGCCCGCAAGTG